CTATTTATAGCTAACTTTACTATGTAATATATTTATATTTATATAAAGTATTTATAATACTAAAGTTCTTCTTAACTTTATTTAATTATTTATATAATAATTTCTTATATAGTAAGTTAAATTATCTTATAAATAACTAATATATTTACTATAGCTATTTTAGCTTTTACTTAAGTCTAGATTTGAGAATATTTTTATTATATTTCTTAATTCTAATTTTATATTTATTTTTAATTAAGATAAAAAGCTTATTAACTAGTTTTTTTTAATATATAGTTATTATTAAATTATCTTTATATTTAACTTATTATAATATTTTTTTATTAAAAATATATATTAAAATATATCTTTAAAAATATATTTAATATTATATTTATTTTAATTATTATAGCTTTAAGTTAATATTATTTAAAGATAATATTAAATATAATTTTATATAGAATAAGCTCTTTTTTCATTTCATTACTAGTCTAGATATAATATAGTTATAAATCATTTATTAGTTATAAAAATATAAATATAAGCTTACTATTATAAATATATTAGATATATTATATAGTCTAGTTAATATATAATAATAAAGTTATTAAAAATTAGTATATTAGTTTTTATTAAAAAGTTTTAAGTACTTATATAGATTTCTATAGTTATAATAACTATAGTTATATATTAGGAACTACCTAGTATCCTTAATATATACTCTTTTAGCTATATTTCGATACTTAGTATTTAAAATTTAGGTTGTTATTGTGGTCGTTAGTTAGCAGCTGTGGTGGTATAGAGCTAAAAAAGCGGCAGCTTTTTTTGCCCTCCCGTGCCACAGTAGCTGAGTTAAGCCCACACCTGTTTTGTTTATGGGTCCATGATTAGACCGAACCCCTGCTAGTAATCTTTTTGCTTCGTTTATCAAGCCAAGTTACTGTAAAGACCCATGTGTCACCATAGCAACAGGCGGCCAGTCACAATGCCTTGAAAACATGACTAAATGAGTATCAAGGTGATAACCTACTTTTCACATATCAAATGCCCCTCTCCAAGGTACACTACACCCCAACAGTGAACCTGACGCTGAGAACGCTGCCAAGCTGATGCGCGTTATCACCATGGCGCAGTCCGAAGAAATCATCAACTTTGATGTAATTGAATGCCAAAAGGAAAACATTCAGTCGCTTCCTGGAGGTCGCTCAGCCAGAAAGCTTCATGCACTCTATTCGCCCACGTCACTTCAGGGCTCATCCACGCCAACCCCTACCGACGCGAAAAATGTCAACGACTGCATTCGCGCGGAGTATGAGACGGAAGTGCAGAACATTTCCGAGTCTGACGATCCTCTTGACGTTTACGACAGATACGTGCGCTGGACGCTGGACACATACCCCTCTGCACAAGCAACACCACAGTCACAGCTTCACACGCTGCTCGAGCGCGCTACCAAGGCCTTCATCGGCTCACCACAATATAAAAACGACCCACGCTATCTGAGACTCTGGTTGTACTACACCGAGTTCTTCGCGGACGCGCCGCGTGAGACGTACATGTACCTGTCCCGACATGGCATTGGTGAGGGTCTCGCCCTATTCTACGAAGAATATGCTGCATGGCTCGAGAGCGCAGGCCGATGGGCTCAGAGTGAAGAGGTTTATAAACTAGGAATTGAGCGCGAAGCCCGCCCCGTTCAGAGACTGCTCCGCAAATTCAAAGAGTTTGAGGATAGGAAAGCACAAGTTCCGAAGGCCGCTGATATGCCAACTTCACCGGCTTTGCCTAGCATTCGCCCTGCACTGGCTGCCAAGGTCGAACCTTTCGCCGCTGCAGCCCGCACAGGCCCCCAGGCGCAGCGATCGACAAGTAGCGCAAGCGGCTCATCAAAACCAGTCAAATCCAAGCTGGCCATCTTCTCAGATGCAGATGCGAAGCCTGCTGTGCTGTCCTCCCGCGAGAAAGGGTCCAAGGGCTGGGAGACAATTGAATCTCTCTCGGACCGCAAGAAGGAGAACACGATGGAGGCACGGCCTTGGGTTGGCGAGACTATGAAAGCTGGTGGCAAGAAGCCTACCGCTGCAGCGAAGATGGCCATCTTTAAAGACACGGTTAGTTTCATTCCATTACCACCCCTTCTAGCTTCCTCTATTGATGGCCAATTAGGACTAATGCATTGTTTTAATGTATACTTTGAGAATGCAGTCTCTTGCTCAAATACAGAATATTGCCGTTGTTCCATCAAAGCATCAAGTGACGGTGCACCCGCAGACGGGGAAGAAAGAGTACATTTTCGTGGACCTCGCAGCAGTTTACCCAAAACCGGACGAGCCTGGCACAGAAGTCAGCTTTGAGGAGATCATGGCGGCAAATTGTGGTTGGTTGGATTGTGCATGGGACAATGGAAATGTGGAAGGGCTCCAAGAAGATGTTCTTATGCAGCTGGATGATATTGAAGAGATTAGCAAGTTGGCTATTCACCGAGACACCGTCATGTACGACGAGAATGGCGCTTTGCCACAGCATTTCCATGCATCCAGACAAAACCAAAAGAACAAGCTTATGGACATGAACGAAACTCAAATCAGTGAGCACAGTGACCGAGCCAAATCCAGGGTGGCAAAACTAACAACACATCAGTCAAGGCCAAGCTGGATTCACCATCCAAGCCAAAGATGAAGAAACGAAACACGTCAGAGCCAACGATGACACTGCACACAAGAGCAGCTACGGACGACATTTATAACATTTTCAACAATCCCATCAAGCCTACTGTGGAGAACCTCTGCGAGAGCGCAGATGAGTACGAGTACGAATCGGATGTTGATTACACTACCGATGCGGAAAGTACTGTGGCGACTCGTAACGTCGACCCCGGCGAGAATGATGACGAGGAAATGACTGATTCCAAGACTTCGAGCGCATGGTCGGGCTTCTCAACGCTTAAGCATATTCCGGATGCCAACGGCGAAAGTAACTATACTTCTGAGGCTACCGACAATCAAAATCAGGATGTCCAGCCGCGACATTTGGATCAGACACGGGACGAGGAAATGGTGGATGAAGCTGGTGAGCAGCATACTACTGAGCAGATCCATTCGCCCCTATCAACCAGGACAGTCTTTGTTCCTTTCCCACCCGAGGATTACGACCCTCCCACTCGTCCCTATAGAGATGCGGCCGAGGTGGCAAACAATAGACTGCCATTTATGACGCCGATTACAGAGCGAACCGAGCTTTCTTTAAATCTGGACGAAGATTGCGAAGATCGCTTTCATCACTTCAAGACTCCCTGTCGACGAGAAGAATATCAAGCGACGGGCTGCTTTCACGCTGACTTCGAGTCTCTGAGCAGCCCCTTAAAAGATGTTGTGGAAGGCGATATCCCAGCTTCAGAGATTTTTCAAGTACTCAAGCCAAAACCGGCGACTCTCTCTGCAAAGGCAAACAAAGGTCTACCAAACAAAGGCCCCATAATCAGGGACGTCATGTGCAATCCTATGGACGAAAATATCCGCAAGGAGATATTGGCTAACATACAACCGCCTCTGAGCTCTTACTCTGGATTCTATGACCAGAGACAAAGCCAGTCCGAGCGCGGTGGTGCTATTCGCAAATTTATCAAAGCACTCTGCAGTAAGCCAAGCAAATCGAGCGGGGAGCGAGGCGCTTCGCTCCCGGCGCAAGTGGTCCTTGACTTTCCCAATATTGAGGCGTGTTACACGCTCAAGAGAGAGCTTGGAGCCGGCGCATTTGCCCCTGTCTACCTCGTTGCCAACTCGAATCCAGAAGAGCCAGCTGGTGACGAGAATGCGGTAGCCGTCAACGGAAAAGGCGCGTTAGCCGTGAGCAAACGTGCGAGTTTGGAAGCGTTAAAGATGGAAAACCCCCCAAGCCCATGGGAGTTCTATATGATGCGTCTTTCGCATACTCGCCTGGGACCCCAGCACCGCGTTTCGGCATCGCTCTCATATGCTCATGAGCTGCATCTCTACAGGGACGAGGCATTCCTGTTTCTTCCCTATCATCCGAATGGTACCCTACTTGATGTCGTCAATTACTTCCGTTCTGAGTCCTCTGGCGTCATGGACGAGATTCTTGCTATGTTCTTCGCTATTGAGCTTATGCGCACCGTCGAGGGTCTCCACGCCAGTCAGCTCTGCCACGGCGACCTCAAGCCTGACAACTGTCTGCTCCGCCTGGATGAGTTTTCCGGCACTTCGCTTCTGGCTAATAAGTGGCGGGCGGATGGCAGCGGCGGCTGGGGGGCGCGAGGAATTTCACTGATTGATTTTGGTCGCGGTATCGACATGCGCGCCTTTGTGCCACGAGTCGAATTCTTTGCCGACTGGAAAACGACAGATCAGGATTGCTCGGAGATGCGAGAAGCACGTTCCTGGACATGGCAGATTGACTACTATGGCCTCGCGAGCACCATACACTGCTTGCTTTTTGGCAAATACATCGAGACAGTGCGATGCGATAGCGGCGGCATTGGCAAAGGTCGCAAGTACAAGATCCGTGAAGGTTTCAAGCGCTATTGGCAAACAGACATCTGGGCTGGCTGCTTCGAGATGCTGCTAAACCCCTCGTCGCTTGTCGCTGGTGAAGAGGGAAGCGCTATGCCCGTGCTCAAGGCGATGAGGAGGGTGCGAGAGCGCATGGAGGTGTGGCTAGAGGCGAACAGCGACCGCGGAATCGGGCTCAAAGGATTGATTGTTAAGCTGGAAAACTCCATCAAGCTGAGGAAGTAGACGCCAGGCAGCTGCAAAAACAACGATAGTATCGGTTGATGAATCCTTTTTTTTTTGTCACTTTGTTGTATATGGAGTCGAGTAACTTGTTGGGGCATTTACGATCATGATACTTACCACATTACTACATGTTTATTGTCAATAAGCGGTGTCAAAAATGGTACATATATAGACGGCTTTGAATACCAGCTCACATTGATCTTTGTGCTTGTTTAAAAGTACATTTCTCTCGATACTAGAGCACTGCTCTGCAGTCTTTGCCAGACACGAAAACGCAGCGTTGCTTCTGCCTTTAACCAGCTTAGTTGGCCTCATCATATGTAGCTGCATTCTTCTTCTTTTCTTCTCGCGCGGCCTTGTTCCCCATGGCTTTGGCATTTTTCTTATCAACCTGATCCTGGATCCGCTGCCGCTCAGACGAGCCCCGCGCCTCAAGCTTCCTCTCCAGTGCAGCGAACTCGTTACTGTCGGCGTCCATACTAATGAGACTCTCGAGAAGCTTGATTTCGTCGGCCCAAACCTGCTTATTTTCGATTGTCTTGCCTTTATCGTCCTTTCTATCGATGGGTGTCTCGAGAATCATGGGCATGCCACAGAAGCTGTCTTCGTTCATGACGCTGTGAAAAGCTCGTAAGCCGAGGAAGCCAGTGCCAATATTGGCGTGCAAGTCTCGATTAGAGGCAAAGGGGGCCTTGCTGTCATTTACTGTCATGTATGACATGAGCACGTCAATAGCGATAGTTGTGTGTCTGATTCACTTACAATGGAGCGCCTTCAAATATTTGATACCAACGATCGTTTCGAATTCGTCTAGCGTCTTGCGGAAAGCCTCTGGTGTGCGCAGATCGTGGCCGGCGGCGAAAGCATGGCACGTGTCAATGCACACGCCGACGCGGGCCTTGTCGACTACCAATGCAATGATGTCTCGCAGGTCTTCCCAGGTGGACCCAATGACATTGCCACTACCAGCCATATTCTCCAGCACCGTGATGACGCTGCTCGTGGCCTTGTGCGCCTTGTTCAGCTGTGCAGCAATGCGCCCAATGGCAGCATCGCGATTGTCGCCGAGCGTAGATCCAGGGTGAAAATTGTACAGCTTGATGCCAAGCTGCTCACAGCGGGTCAGATCATCGAGGAAAGCGTTGTAAGCCTGAGTTGCCTTGGCTGGATCTGACTGCGCCAGATTGACGAGGTACGAGCCGTGCGGGAGGGCATGCTCCGATGCTTTGTAACCGTAGTGAGAGCAGCCACTCATGAAAAGATCCTTGGCTGACGACGTAATGGGTGGATTATCCCACTTGCGCTGCGACTTGAGGAAGAGCGCAAAGGCGTTGGCGCCAATGTGTACAGCATTGGTGACTGAATTGTTAGCACCTGGAAGATGACAGTCAGTCTCATTGCTTCTTTATCACCGTGTAGCTTCAAGCATGGACATCGTACCGCCAGCTGCGCTCACATGAGCACCAACATACATTGCCCTTTTCAGCGATGAGACCGCGGTGCGATCTGCCAGTGGCATCGTGTTGTCGTGTTTGCCCTTCGCTATCTTGCGTTTTTTTGGTTGCGATATAGTTGGTGCCGGCTTGCTATCTGGGCTACTCCCTTCTGAGACTTTGCGTTTTGGTGCAGGTTTTGGTGCAGGTTTGGTTGCCACTGACTCGGGTGATCCTAGAGCTTTGCTAACCGTGGGTGACTGTTTCGGCTTCTCGTCGTCTTCTTCCTTGTAGCTAACAATTGGTCTTTTCCGTAGCGAGGAGCGGGCCATTTTCCTTGTAGCCTATTGCCATGTACTAAGTAGGTCTTATCACAGTAGTGCATCGTAGGCTTGCTAACAATGCTGTGGTTTGGAGTGAACTGGCACTTGGAGCGCGACGCGCGCGTAGCTCACAGCGATCATCATACGGTATTATATAGCATTATTACTTCCCGTAATATATATAAGTAAGCTTTTTAAGCTTAGCCTTAATGTTATTATATTATATAATAAGTTAAAAATTATATTAAGTAATATTTTTTATTATTTAAGTAATATTTTTTTATATTATCTTTTTAACTTAATTATAGTATAAAAATTAGATTTTTTATTTATTTTTTTATTTTTATAAAACTTTTTTATAAAATAATAAAACTAATTATTATTATTATATACTAACTAAGCTAAGTAGCCTATTTAATATCTTTATAATAATAAACTAAAGAAAAACTAAAGTAACTAAAGAAAAACCTTAGCTTCTAATTTAAATATAATATAACTTATAGCTTATATATATATAAGTCTAATAAAAAACCCTTCTTTATATTAGCCTAGTTACTTAGGTATAAAAGTTATAATAGCTTTCTTTTAATATATATTATTTTATATCTTTAATATAATAGCCTTAGGTTAGGTATAGGTCTTTAATAGTTAGTATCTAGTTTTAATAGAAGTTTAAATTATAAAAAAGTGAAAAAAATGTAAGAAAAAACTATAAAAAAATCTATAAAAATTATATATAATATAAAATATATAAATCTAAGTTAAGCTTAGGTATTTAAATTTATTTTATATTTTTATTTATTTATAATAAATAAAATATATATATTTATCTTTAATTATAATAAGTATTTTATTTATTAGCTTATATTAATATAAAGTTATTATAAATTTACTAAATAGTTTATATTTTATTATCTTTTTATAATTTATATTATTTAGTTTAATAGTTATTATATATTAATATTAATATATATATATTAGTTTTAGTTAATTTAAAAAAGGTTAAAAAATAGGCTTTTTTTAGCTTTTTTTTTCTTTTAACTTTTATTAATTATATATAATTTCCTTATCTTTTATATTTTTTTTTACCTTTTTCTTTTTATAGTCCTTTTTCTTTACTAGTTTTATTATACTTTTACTTTCTTTATTAATTATTTATAAAGAAATTATTTTTCTATCTTTTATATTATATATATAATAATATTAAACTAAGCCTGATTTATAGTTATTAATAACTATAAAAAATAAGTAAATAAGTAAATATTTTTTATTATTATAATATATATTTTCTTTTTTTAATATTTAGTTAATTATTAACTAGACTAGTTTAAAAATATTACTATTTTTATTTTTATTAATACTAATAGTTTAAACTTTAGTTATATTTTATATTTAATTTAACTTCTTTTTATTATTTATAAACTTATTATTTATAATATCTCTTATATTAGATATTTTATTAATAATAATATAATTAATAATAAGCTAGTTTATCTTTATATTAAAGATATATATTTAATTTATTACTAGCCTAGCTTTATAAACTTTTATTAAGTATTATTAATATAATTTATATAAATTATAAAAAAGATAAGATTATTTACTTTAATATAAGGTAAACTTACTTTTATATTACCTTTAATACTAATCTAAGTAAATATTATCTAGTATTATTAAAGCTATTAAGGTAATTAAAAACTAAGTAGTTATTTATAATAATAATAACTTAGTCTTAGATTAAAATAACTTAGTTTATAATAATAATATAACTACTAAAGTTTATATTACTTCTAATAATAAATCTAGTTTTTATATTTCTTAAGTTATAAATAATATAATTATAACTTATATCTTAGTCATTATTAATATAGTAAATAAGTAAATAAGCTAGATAAGTAAGT